TTCCTCCCACAAGCCCTCAGAAGTGATGTAGAAAAGAGCTTCATGAACACCTATGGCTTTGCTGCTCTCCCTTACTTGCTCAAATGAGGAATTGCATACAAAGCCATTTTAGGATCAGATCTACTTATCAACAGATGATGCTTAGAAAAGAGGAGGGTTGATCATTTGGTATCTGATAGGAAAGACTTGAGTATCACAATCACAAGTTCATGTTCATTCTCTTCTGGTGCTTTGCCATGCCATACGTACCTCTCTGTCCTCTCCTTTCTTATTGCCACTTGTTACTTGGGACAACCCTTACTTGGATCTATGAAGAAGAGAAATTCTTCAGAGGCAAAGCAGAAGGCAAAAAACCCAACACTCACAAAAACCCTCAAACAAAACCCCTTGTATGTCCTTTAGTTGATGCTCAAACCCAGGAAGTAATCTCTAACCCTCCAGTGGGTGATGACACTTCTCATGGAGCAGATATGTAGGTCCCCAAGACTGCCAGGATGAAAGCCCCTATGTATTCTCCTGTGTGATTGTTACTCTCTGAAAATGGAGCTGGTGGCTGGCAGCAGTCCTTGTAACACTTAGTTACACCTTAGTAGGTGCTTCCAAGCTGAATGTTACTCATGATTTTATTGCTGGTAGTTTGCATTTTACACTAACGGGACACAACGATACAACCCTAATGTTGGGCCCATCTATCTACCCCTGTCCTCTTCTTGTAGCCAGATGTGTAACATACTTGTCTACTCTAACATTTAAAGGTTTCTACCTTGCCACCTTTGCCAGTGCAGTACTGCTTACTGCTCTTTTTCTGATCTTAGTGACTTCCAAATGTCTTTGCTTCTTGATTTCATGCTGCTGAATGCCAGGGAATGGTAGCTACTGTAAGCAGTGCTTGAAACAATAAGGTGAGGTGCTAAACAATACCCTATTGTTGATTATGGGAGATGAAGACCATGGTGGATGCACAGGTCAAGGATTCTGTGAGGATAATTATGCAATGTTTGATTCATTCACTACTAGTGAATGATTTCATAAAAAAAGCATTATTAGTCCATATTATCACAAAAGTACTGTGTGCTTTTACCTTGATTAGTCTGCGATGTGGTGCTTGCAAAAAATTGTCTTAAAGGGCTACATGCTCTTAAATGGTAATGAAGTTAATGTAACCTGGAAGTGGTTGTATCTTTGGAAAAGATCAACATTTTTATTTAGTGTAGTGTTGTAGGCAGTAATGTTAGGATGTCCAAAGCAACCTCAAGTACTTGGACACCTATTCCTCACTGATGTTTTTAATGGAATTAGGGCTTCTGTTTCACTTAGGTTGCTTTCAAAGTCACAATTAAAGGCTCTTGAAGTTAATGGAAGTCCTTTTATGCCTTAAATATATGTTATCAGGCTGAAGTGTTCAAAATATTGCTTGTTAAACTATTAAAAATGTTGGATGAATATGTAAACATGCAGAAAGTGTGAGATCAAAAAGCTAATACTAAAATTTCACGTACTAATACGAAGTAAGCTTCCTAAGTTGCCCACCTGCTACCAGGGGACGTTATATGATTTGAGCTTGTATTTTCAGCCATAACAGGAAAATGTCTAGAAACCAGTTTTCTTTATCCAAGGACTACAGTCATTTCTAATAACATCTAGTCATTTAAACAAGCTTGTGCTGGCTTATGAATAGTAATAGACTGTACTTTTCGTTAGGACGAAGGAACATAAATCACAAAGTGTCAGGCAGCTTAGAAACCAGTATGTCCTCATGATTGTTTAATAGAGTACAGAGGGAATTGCCTTCAAGCTAGTGAAATCTCGTATCCAGTTGCCCATCGGTGATGCTTCAAAAAAGGAAGAGAATTGTTCTCTTATGAACCTTGGCATAAAAATTTAATTAGCAGCTGAGCTTTTTCTGAAGATTAAAAAAAAAAAAAAGTGATTTCTTTTTATATAGTCACTTTCCTGTAACTGTTTACTTTACATTTCTCTGTTGTTCACACAGACAAGATCTGCAGCCTCCTACATCTATTTTTTCCCCCCTCCTTCAGTAGTGATTTTGAAATTATTTTACCTGGTTTCAGCTTTTTTTTTTGTTATGTTTCAGCATATTTGAACATTTTTCTCAAAGACTTTCAGAACACAAGTCAGAGGAAGAAATGGATAAATAATCAGATTTAATATGTAATGGATACAAAACTGCTGTTATTAAATAAAATAATAATTATAATAACTATTGCTGTTATTGATAGATTTGTTAAAATGAATCTTTCTTTAGAAGAGTTCAAAGATAGTGAGTATATACTAATCAGAAAATCAGTCCTCAACTGGAATCAGATACTATTTATGTTATTTATTATAGTTTCATCTCTTTAGCACGTGTATTATTTGGCTCTTAAAGGCATTAAATCTTATGACTTAGCACATATTTGCAGTGTCATAGTATGATTTCTGTGAGAACTATGGATTTGGTTTTGTTTGATTTCTCAGATTTAAACAACTGTAACTTTAATCTTAGTTTTCTTATATAACAAGGAGACGGGAAACAAAAGAACAAGAGCCCCAAACCTTTAACTCTGTTGGCATTTGCTCATAATGTCAAATGTCTTAATGTCAAACTAATTAAATCTCTGGTCTAACGTGACACATTTTCCAAAAGTGTACTGGTACATGGATATACTGTGATGACCTTGAAACTTAAATATTTGTGTATTGCTTGTTTTTTGCAGTTAGTAGAAATGCTTCAAGGCCTAGATTTGTTGAAGACCGTGTCTCTGCTTCAAGGCGTTCCTTGGTGTATCCATCAGTCCCAGTGCTCTGAGAACTGCCTCAAAGCAGTCAGACCAGCAAACACCTGAGGGATTATGTTAGAAAAGATGTGGCTGGCTGAAGGGTGTAGTAATGGAAACTCAGCTGGCTTCTTTAGCTTCTTGTGTGCCCAGACATGCATGTGCTTACCCTTTGTGTTAGGATGAGAGCGGCGAAGTACCTCCTGGCCACGGATCCTATATTACATCTTCATAACAAATGTTAAGTCCTGGACAGCGTAGCTGTGAACTTTGCTATTCAGCTCTCCCAGATGACATGTGTTGGATGTCATACTCAGACCTGTGACTTTACTTGGTAGCAGAACCCTTTCAACAAGTCGTTACTTCCTTCTAGCTGCCATCAATATCTTTAAAGACGGAAAGTAAAAATAATGCACTTTGGGACTCTCAGTTGAAATTCGGAAACAAAGTTCCTTGCATTGTCTAGAAATCAACCTTTATTTTTCTAGTTGAAGATAAAAATTGTGAAATGAATTTTTCATATATGAGTTGTTTTATTTCCTGGAAACAATCGTCTTTAGAAATGTTTGCCTCTTTCATGTCTTGCACAAGTCTTTGTTTTTTAAATTTAAAAAATATTTAAGTTTTCATTTTGAAAACACTGAAACAAAGTGTTTTGACACTTCTGAAACTTACCTTGCACCCTCTTTGGAGAGCAGGGTCAGACTCTGAATTTGAAGACGCTCAGTATAATAATAAATATTCTCCTTGCAATACTAGATTCCTTAAGTTTCCAGAAGAATCTGGTTGCCCATGTAGGTCACTAAGGGAAGCATAACTGTTGGTACAAGTGACAAGACTTTGACTCGTGTGGTCCTCAGACTTTGTTTTCCTTTAGGAAGAAGTAGTTGGTTGGGCTCTTTGGAGCAGATGGAGAGTTTAGTACCTTCTGTCTACTGGGAGTCTGAGTGTGCCGGGGTAAAGGGGGTCAGCAGTAGTGTGTGCTGGGGACATGGGAGGCTCTGGCGAATGCAGAGATCATAGACTACAGCGAGAAAGCAACGAACGGCTGGTCAGTCCTCAGAAGGGATAAAAAAAAGGATTTCCTAAGACCCAGAAGACTGGATAAGGTGGCTGTTTAGGAAATTGCTGACCTGGCTAGATTTGAGGACTCATCTTCATAGGGGGGAGTTGCATACATGTGGTTTAATTTTACTCTGCTTTACAAATTGCTTTCAGCTTTTTCTATTTACAAAGTCAATTGTCGTAGCTGGTACTTGTATAAAACCTGGTTTTGGAGGGGTTTAAAGCTCTTGGCTTTGGACAATTTACAGTAAAAAAAAAAAAAAAAAAGCTTTGGGCCACTGCACCTCTGTGTTCTGGCTGCATGGGCTTATTGGGTAAGATCAATCTGCATAAATCTGATCCCTGTGCCTTCTCTCAGCAGCCATTCTTAATTATTATTTCAAAATAACACAATAACCAAACTGGGGAGGGAGAGGGGGGGATGTTCGGTTGGGGCTTTTTGTTTGTTTTGAGAGCTAAATAACATGAGAATGAAATTGAAATTAAAATAGTCCGTTTTGGTAGAGTGAGACATTTCTGGTAGAGCTAGATTTTTCTTAAGCTTGACAGCCAGATCAAAATACTGAGAATCTGAAAAAAGAAAAAAAAAAAGTTTCTATGAGCCCATCCTGTTTTAGGATTAAGTCTCTTTTGGAGATATTCTCTAAAGTTACCTGTTTGTGGTTTTTTTCTTTTCTATCAATAGAAGGAATTGTCTGGGGTGCTTCTTTCTCCCTGCTTTGTGATCCTGCAAATGCAACTGTCATACTTCAAAGTCTGGATCTTGACATTTGAAAGACACATTTTCTATTTGAAATCTAGTATATAATTTCTTCAGTGTAAAATATCTGTGACGTGATTTTTCTAATCCCACAATATTATTTGCGTGCTTTTCCCACAAAAAATGAAATGACAATTTATTCTCCACAGTAAAGTTTACAGAACTTTTATAAAGTTGTAGAATATAGACTTTTAAAAATCATTTTCCTAAGTATATATTTACGAAGAATGTATTACTAAAAAGCAGTGAGGTAGGGTATCAGTTTTTTATAAGGATAATTCATGCATGCTATACCATAGTTAACTTTGGGGGAAGTTTTAAATCAGCAGGACTCTTCTGAGGTTTTTGGTCATCATTTCAAATTGTGAAAAAATTATATCTTTAATTGTTATTTTCAGTTTTACAGAATTTTTGGATCCATTCCAGCGGGTTATCCAGCCAGAAGAGATTTGGCTGTATAAAAATCCTTTGGTGCAATCAGACAACATACCTACGCGTCTTATGTTTGTAAGTACTAAAGGTTTGTTGGTCATTTGATGGCCGTAAACTAAGTACACTTTAATTCAATAAGCAGTAGGAAACCTTCCAGAAGCATAGGATGTTTCTTGTCTTCTAATGACAATTGTTTTCCAATCCAGGAATGTCCAAATGGCAAAATGTATGAAATCATGTGGACTTTCTGAAAAACCAGCATTACTAGGTGACTGAATGTTGATTTTACAGTTTAAGATTTAAGCTAGTGTTAAGTTAGAGGTGTGCTAGAGAAATGATTAGAGAAGCTTTTTGAATTAGCTGGTTGGGTGACCTGACAAAACCTTACCATGCTCTTATTAGATTAAGTGCTTACATTTTGAAATCCAATTTGTTTTAGGCACGTTAGGCACGGAGATACTTGCCTCCAAGTACTTTTTGGTGTTTTGGTGGTGTTTTTCATGTGGACAAAACCTTTGTTTCAGCTTCTGCCAACAATCCCGAGGTCATTGGGAGCGTACTTAATATATCATAGAGCTGCTCTGCTGTCACTGTTCTTCTGGCTCTCCCCAGCACAGCTCGTGTTGTCACACAGACTGGCTGTCTGATTTTGATGGTTTGTCTGATTATCAAAATTCATCATTTTGATAACCATCACTAGCAATGATTAACGATCATAATAATCTATACATATAACTGCAAGAGTACAGCAGGATAGACCACTACAGAAATGCGAAGAAATTACGGGTCTAGTTCAGGCTATTAAAACAAGTAGGTCAGTCGTTGCAGAAGCTTCATCAGTCAAAGCAGAGATTTTGCAGGAAAGGACATGGCAGATGAGGTCAAATCCTAGTACCCTTACGTCAAAGCCTGTGTCTTCAATGAAGCCAGGGTTTTACTTTTCAGATTAAGAGCTTGAATTCAGAGTAAGTGCAAATCAGCTATGTAATTTGTCTTCATTATTTTTTTTATTTTTTTTTTTTTTAAGAGGCTCAGGCCTTCAGTCAGGGAAACTTTTCAATTGAGTAAGGAAAAGCTTGAGGGTACTTCCTGTTTCCAAGGTGACAATATATCCCAGCCTTCTAAGACAGAAGCTGAAGGCTTGGTTTTAAATTCACCAGCATATTGTTTATATTGCATTAAGCAGCAGCTCTATTAAGTACTTTTTCAGCCTGGATGGGTGTCTTTTTCCTGGAACGGAAGACAACGGTATAAAAACAAACAAACAAAAAGAAACATTACATCTTTTGTGCTAGGAAAGATTTTAGGGTGTAATTCTGCCATTTTTCCTTATGCTGAGTGTTCCCTTGCTACATGCTTTGTCTGATGTGTGTTTATAACTGAGAGTTCAAGGACCAGTAGTGAATCATTGTACAGGGGTTTACTGCAGCGGTGAAACTATTTTTGAAGCTGGTTGGGATAATCATTAGTCCTTCCTTTGTTCTCTAGGCAGTAGCCACTGGGAAACACAGTTCTGGGATGTAAGTGTAGTACATTTCCCTGTTAACCACTGCCCACAGAGCCAGCGTTTGGTATAGTTTATGCAGTAACATTTGCATAGTCTGCGTTCTGTTTCTGGCTCAGACCATGACATCTCGGTAACTCAGTGAACAGCTTCTTAAATTGAGAAACACAGATCACTTCTAAATGGTTTTTCTTATTTCTTTAATGAAAAAGAAGAAAAATCTAATTCTAGCATTGATCACAAACTTTTATGTAAAGAATATCTTGCCACTTGTGTTGTACTCCAATATTGAAACATATGTCTGTGGCTTACAAGCAATCTCTAAGACTTTATGAACTGCTGGATTATTTTATAAATTGAGAGATATGAATTAAGAGAAATGTTGTGAATACTCCAAACCCAGATCCAAATTCGATAATGCTGACTTCTGCAAGGGTAGAAAGCAAGCCACAAGGACTGGAAAGACCCGAGCCTTGTTCTGTGTGTCTATCAGTGGCTATTCCTTGTCTTGGAAAGCGTAAGGCATTTCTCACAGCTTCTCTTGAATACATGGAAGTGTGTGGGAGTCCCTATAACTTTAGCATATTTCTGGCTTGCCAGGATGAATAATGAACAAGAGAGATTTTGTCCATGTTTCACAAAAGCAAGGCAATGTTGGAGTATTTCACTGCTGGAAAAGAAAACATTACTGAGATGTGTCTGAGGAGAATATTGCTCATTAGACTGTTGCCAAATCCGTTATGGATATGAGCCATACAAAATCTTTTTGCAAAAGAAAGAAAAAGGAGTCTTTAGCAAGCCAAACTTTCTTTGTATTGTGCATTTTGCTGCAGTATAAAAACCTCCTTCAAGCTAATCATTTTGTGTAAGGAACAGCAATGTACTGCAAACATGAATAGTTCTTCATCTCTCTCAAAAATCCATATGCTTGTGAAATATGAGGAAATCTACAGTTTTACCAGATTTCCAAAGATAGATTGTGAAGTGGTTTGGAACAAGCTGCCACTTGAATTCTATTCTTTGTTGATAATTTCTGCTTCTCCTGTTTGTTCAAAAGATTTCGAACTCCATTAAACCACCAGTATAAGCCTGTCAGCCTGGCTATATTTCTATGTTATTCGACAATGGAATGCAGATATCTTTCTTCTTTTCTTTCCTGGTGGCAATCCTTACTTTTTAGAATGAAACTAATAATTCTATGGTTGGCTTTAACTTTTTTTTTTTTGCTCTTTGTCTCTGAAAGCAGAAATTAAACTATTTCTGGAGCAGTAACATGGCACTGGCATCCTGACTTGAATCTCACACATGCTGTAGACAGAAGGGAGTTTTAAGTGGAAATGGTGCATCTTTTTGCACAAAACCTGATGCCTGCCTTCCTAAGTGTAAAAAAGGGGAACAGACTCCAGACTGTGTTTTAATCTGCATGGCTTACTGAGTTAGATAATATTTTGCAGATGCAGGTGAGGGGAATTTGGTCCAAGATGCACTAGCACAATAACAAATATAGTGCATTTTCATGTTGTTCGCTACTCAGATATTGTAAAAGCATAAAATGAGGACTGGGATTAATCTGTACTATAAAAAGGAATCAAACATCTCTTCTCATAACATGTCTGTCCTGTCTGTTTTTTATTTCAGTGGGGCTGTTTAAGAAGTAAAGCACTGTTCAGCCTCAATAGAGGTAACATAATCTTACTTAAGCCCTGGTGCCCCTTGTGCCATATACAGCTTAATTTTTGCCTTGTTTAAAAAAACCCAGTCATTTTCACTTTTCTTCTAGAGAATAAATGCTTTTGAAAGACCCTGATTTGTTTTTGAGCAGATGTGCTTGTGAAGAGGTTTGTAGATTCCAGAGAGGAATTGGTTAACTTAGACTGGAACCAGCAAGAAGCATAAATGGCCTGCCTTGCCTACAAGTTGCCTTTTACTTCTGCAGTTGAAGGTCTGAGACAGAAGGGATGATGGAAGGACCAGTTGGGAAGAAAATCATAGTTTTCAATGCAAGCTACTAATTAAAAACTCCCTGGTATTGTGCTTGGGAGAGACTGATATGTCTCTCTGGAGAAAGACAATACATACATGCTCCGGGAGGATGGACCGCAGTGTACAGACACTGCATGAAGTAGGATGCTTTTGGGATAACTGTCACACAGTGAATCATCAACCATAGTCCAAATTGCTCTATGATAATGGAGATGCTCTTTGGAAATCAAGTGTGCACACTGACGTGCAGATGCCATTTCAGGTTCTTTGTAGGACGAATCCTGTCCTACAAGCACTGACAATAAAAGAATATGTTTCTGTTTAACCAGTGAGTATACTTGTAGATGTTCAGGTTTTCCGTGTTTTTTTTGTTTTTTTTTTTTTTTTAACAAAATCGAGCAGTTTGTTCCATGTCCACACACTGGTAAATGAAAGAATCATAGAGACATGATCCTCTCAATGCATTCAAGAATATAGTTAAAAAGAAGCCAAAAAGTAAAATAAACAGCATTTTAAAATGTCAGGAAGTTGATGATGGAGTCTGTTATGTTGAATAGGGTCTTACAGAGAGCGCAGCCTGGATGGGCTGCCCTCTAGAGCAATGCTTAGAGTAGAAAAAATGTACAGGGTCTGTATGGCTCAGCGTATGAATTTTATGGACTTTATAGTCTGTTGCTTTTTCATTTATGAAGCTGACATTTTAAATGCTGCTCCAGGCAATTACAAATCAATTATAACCCACAGTTATATTACAGTTTTAATGTATTCGTTGCCCTGTAGTTGCAAAGACAAATCATCCCACTTTGCTTAAGGTCAGGAGTTTGATAAAGATCATTCAGCCTTCCAGTTTAAATGGAGCTAACTGGAACTAATTATTAATCAGTTGGACTGAAAAGGAATTGATGCGCTCACACATGATATTTGTTATCTCTTACAGGCAATTTCGTTCCTCACGCCACTAGCAGTCATTTTTGTGGTGAAAATAATTCGGCGAACAGACAAGACTGAAATTAAAGAGGCTTTCTTAGGTAAATGTATGTCATACTTCAAGACGGAGAATGTGTGATAGCTCTCAGAGGTTGATTCCAATTGTGGTCTAAGCCTTGAAGAAAACTTGTCTCCGTTACAGTCCATTGCAGTAGTTTTCAGTGCAGTTACGGTGAAGTTGCAAGCCATCTCACAAAATCCTTTGGTTTTATGTATGTTTCTAAATGTACAAATTCTGTGCCTTAATTCCACAGTCTAGCTAGCAAGGGTCAGAATTCAATCAGCATAGACAAGACCATCTGAAACACTGTTCAGGTGTTTATTTTTCTGTCACAGGCAATCTATTCCTTACCTCTTATTTATACTTGCAGCTATTCTAAATTAAGGATTTGAATGGAAGGTCCTGTGAGATTCAGCTGCTTAGTGTAGGAAATTACTCCCCTCATTGTTTTCTCTGACCTTCTCCTGGAGTTTACCATTGCTCATTGCAAAATCCGTGCTCAGCTTTTTTTTAATCACAAGCTGATGTTTCATTTTAAACTGCCAGTGGAGTGTTAGATGTGCACTTAATCCTGGACTGTGAACTGCTATGGCTGTGTTACGGGTGAGGTCTAATTACACTTGTAGGCAGCATCTTCGAGCAGAGGGGCAGGTAGGCAATGGGGATAGTAAGTCTTAAACTGTTCTACAAACTAATTCTGGCTGCGCCTATATTTTGAAATCTTTTAGTGATATATGCCCAGGTCCTTTTTACATAGATATTGCCAGAGACCAGGATGGACTAAAGTGCTTTCATTGGCAGAGGATGATTTGAAGCACTAAGAACTGCAAATGTTCTTGTTGGCAGTATGCTTGAAATATGCCTAATTCTGAAATTCTGTTTTACTGGCTAATTTACGCTTGAATTTATTGGCCTTTAAATCATAAGGTCAAACTGATACTCAGCCTTGCCTTAGCTAGATAGGATGTAATGGCACTATGTGTCTGTCTGAAATATTTTTTTCAGGCAAGACTGTGTTCCCGTAGCTTTTTCTTTTTCCAGTTGCTCTAGCACAAGTGTGTGAAGATCCTACTTTTGTTTTGGCTGCTGCCAGCCATTTGTACTAAGTTCTGAAATGTCTTATAGTGATACTGTGCTGACAAGTCCATTCAGTAGAAATAACTGATTCATAAAATGCATACAGTCACCGTTTTGAGTTTCACTTTCTGTTGTTTAAGAAGGACGGGAGCTTTGGATTAGTTTCTCAATCACTAATTCTCACCTTTTTGTTTTAAAGAGATATTATTTTTTCTGCTGTTCTTGCCTTCTGTTATGATTCCCTCTGTAATGTCCAGGAGAAAACTGGTCAGCTTCCCCAGTATTCTCCCTGCTACCCAGACCTTAAGGAAAACCCAGCCTTGATGTTCTGTTCTGCAGGGTATCCCTGTTCAGTATGTGCCATAAGTGTGGAACTTCTTGTGGCTCAATTATGTTCAAGTGTACTATACATTAATATGTTTCAGTACGTTAATGTGTCTGGTGTTGCGAAGCTGATGTGAAGATTCATTAACTGTGGTGGAGCTTTGCTGATTTGTTGAGATCTGGCACGTAATGTTCATAACGAATGATCAGGAAGTCCCCCAAAAGATGACCTCCTTTAGGCATCGTATGTAGAAGAGATCAAAGGTTAAAAGAATGTGAAGATGCTTTGTCCCTCATATAGCCTTTAACATAAAGAAGATGATTCAGTGGATCTAAGGTGAGGGGTAGTTAGCTTCCCAATGTCGGTGCCCTTAATCCTTCCCCTGAAAGTGCGTATGTGTCTCTACTGACTGCATTATATGACTTTTGGTGGGCAGTATGAATCTTCCCTAAAGGGAACAAAATGAGAGCAAATGCAATTTGTTTCTCAGCTTACATTCACACTGTCATTTGATACTTGGATTGTGACTGTAAGGAATATGCAACAGTGAAAGCATCGATCAGGTATGCAATGAACAATTAAGACAAAGTTCTGAAAAGCATAAACTTTACCACATGTCTCAGCAGATATCTCTACATCTCCCGCTTTTTAAAAGGGAGAATGTGGTGCTGTGATATTGCTGGTCATATGCATTTGACTTTGTGGAAAATTTCAGTTCACCGTGCAATCACCATAAATAATGGAGCAGAAACAATTGAAAGGAAAAAGAGAGTATGGGATTGAGTGGTCACTATGAACATAGGCATTGAAAGTGGAAAGCTTATGAACAATATCAGTGTCTCTAGGATTGACTTGTTCTTTTATTTTTGCTGGCAGCTATTGCTATAGTCTGAAAACACCCTGGTTTTGTTCTGATGAAGGTCATCTTTTTTTTTAACTTAAAGAAAAATAGATCCTATAACACACACATTTTTATGATCTATAATATCCTCAGGCAACGATATTTATGGAGACAGGATGAGTGCTGCTGAAGTGCAGCATCTGGGGCAGCAGTCCAATGAGAAAATAGCTCGTGTAGCTGTCATAATCAAAAGTTATACTGCTGTAACTGTTCTGCTGGAAATCAGAGATTTGCCTGATGGTTTTGTTCTGCTGGGAAATAAAACCCAGTGACTCTTGTGTTGTAACAGGATGCTATGGTGTGGACTGCAACATTAAATCAGTTTTAGTCTAAAAGGAGTATATGCACCAGATCCAAGTGCCACTGAAATCAAGGCAGAGTTCTCCACAGGCTTTAGGTGAGGTTCTTCGGAAAGTCTAGGGACTTGGCACACAAGTACAAATAAAAAAGATGATTCAATCATACCTAGTATGATGGTTCCTGTTTATTAATCTGATTGTATTAGGAAAAATGGTTAATCCTGGGAGCAAATGTAGGGGGAAAATGTCAAGATGTTTAGTCAAATTATCCATGTTCTATTGAAAGAAAAATTAAAAAAACCCCATCTAATTCTAGTTTTATCCATAAAGCAATTCTTTAGGCCTGAAAGTGGACTATTTAATTGCGTCATACATATATATACACATACATAAACACACACACACGTGTGTGTGTGTGTGTGTGTATATATATTCAGGAATATACCCAAATATTGACCCAAAGAGCATAAGATTTTCATCTAGTAAATTGCAAAACCGATAAACACAGACCTTGATTCTCTAATAATTGTTTCCATCTGATGATTTATGCCTGTGCAAATGGCATGATGGGGAAACTGGCTTTGCATAAAGAAATAAGATTTCTGAAGAGTAAAAGCAGAACAAAGCCAGTCATGTGATTATTATGATGTTCTGGGGTCTGTCCTTAAGTCTGGCTAATAAGAAAAACAGTAGGCTGCAAAGATAATTCAGTTTTCAGTCCAGTAAAGGTTTCAGTCTGTAAATCAAATGCTGTAATGTTGTAATTTATAGCTTGGTATTTAGATTATTATTGTTCTGTTTGTTCATTCTGTTTTGTAGCTGTTTCCCTGGCTCTAGCTCTGAATGGCGTCTGCACAAATACTATTAAATTAATAGTCGGAAGGTAAGTCTTGTCATGTTATAAATGGTAGTTTCAACTCTTAAGAGAAATGAAGACAGATTGACATATACAATACATCTTAATAAAAAGATAGCTGCTGCTTCAAAGCACGTTGAAGTAGAACTGGCCCCTGTGAAGCTGTCCTTTCCCTGGTGTGGGTGTTGTACAACTTCATTATGTGACATCCAACTGCGGTAGGAATCTATGCCCTTGTGTTTTGTTATTTGTTTGACCAGTTGGCGGATCCAGACAAACGAGGAGTTTGAAAGGAAAGGTGTGAGCTGAAATCAGTTCATTAAATTGGCAACACAGAAGGGAAGAGTCGCAGCATGTGGGAGTTAAGATGCCAGTGCCGCTAGCCGGATTAAATAGGAATCAGTTGAGTCTCTATATAACCCAGTGCCTGTGTGAAGCGTGTTACTGAATGTGGTATTTCCAGGTAACATCAAGATCCATGGCAGAACAAACCTTGGAGCTAAGCAATAAGTGAACTCCTAGGTAGGCCATATTTTTAGGGAAGCAT